AATAATAATAAAAATCACACACAAAACACAAAGAACACATGGTTTTGGTCCATTGGGAGTTTGACCAATGTCCGTGAATGTTGATCATGTGTAATTATCTCCCCTCAGTCTGTCATGCTCAGAGGAGACGGTTTCTGCGTCTCTCTGGTGGGCGTGGTCTGTGTCCGCGCGGGTCTCGATCTAGATGCAGACTTGAGACGCGCACTCCCAAAGACGCGCGCACTGCACTGAGGATATCTGCGGCTCCAGCCCGCGCCATGACTCCAGCCTCCAGCCTCCTCCACGGCCACGCTCCTCCGTCTGCGTCTCCAGCCTGAAGACATGGGGATGTGAGCAGGAGGCAAAACGAAAGGAAAAACTTTTCTCTGGTTTAATCCTCTTTGAGCGCCGCGCGGGACTCATGCGAGATCTGTGAGTAACTTCAACAATTATTCATTTATTTATTGTTTATTTGGTTGGGACAGTACGTATGCTAATTACATGACTATACAATAATGCCATGGATCCCGCTTCATATAGAAATAGCTGATAATATATATATTTTTTTGCACAATTACCCCAAAGTGTTTCAGGATATAAATGTAAATATATAATAATGTACATGTCCGGCGCACATTTAGGCGTTGTGTATGTACTCCAATGTGGTTTTACGGCAAACAGCAAATAAAAGAGTCTGAGTTTGCATCCTGTAGCTGTCATTCAACGTTAGGCTTAGGGTTTGGACACTCTTACAATCTGCAGTCTTTTAGTTTGGATTAATCTAACATAGTATAATCGCAGAATACATGAGGTTTTATACGCATACATCTATCGGTCTGTTGTGGTTGTACCTGACCGTGGTATTATAATGGTTCTTACTGTTATAGTCAATGTATTTTTAGTTAGATCTTCAAAGCTACTTTTTCATGAGTGCAATAAAGCCTTTATCTTCCGACAAGAAACTTACAGCATCCATCTTGAGTTGTCAATATATTTAGGTTCATGTGTGGTTGTTATCGCTGCCAAAAATGACAATATGTTAGTTTGAGCTCATTTTGACTGTGTTAAATGAGACAAAGTCATTTAGTCCAAGAACTGTTGCTTTATTTTCTCATTCCAAGCGAGACATTTCTGTATCTTTTCAAAACAAGATCATGTTGCTTCGTCCCGTTGGCAAATCTAGTTTTAACGCAGTCGCAATGTGCTCAAACTAAGATACATTTTGCCAAATTTTTTATCATTTTTGACTGGTTTTCCATCACTTTTTGCAGTGTACGAATAAAACATAAACTAAATATGAATAGTTTTGACTGTCTATTATATTTGAAACGCTCCTGAACTGAATCTGAGTAAGGCTTCTCTGATCGCCGCATGAGCTCACTGCCTCTTTCTGCTGAGGAAGTCCCGGTCTGGGCTTCTGTGAGCCGCGTGAGGTCCGTCCAAAAAGTCCCGCTCCTCCTCTGAGCCCCGACGAGCTGATAATGATCCCCAGCTTTAGCCGGAGTCCTGCTCTGCTCGCACATAAAACCAATCAACACCTCATTCCCCCATCGTCTCCCCACCGCCAGCACCTTCCCTACGGCCGTTAGACTCTGAGGCAAACACCGGGGTTGGATCCAGCTGGAACTCCCACAAATTACTTTAATTTGGCCACTGTCCTCTAAATAGACAAATAAGCAGGAAAGTAGATATATCCTGACATTTAGGACGTTAAAAGTAAGTTAAATGTGGTTTTATTAGAGCAACAAGGCAATTATCCCAAGATCACGGAACAGAACCCACAATTGGATTTGATTTCAACTTCAGTCGTGTCCAACACTAAAATTGCGAAATGGTTTAGATTAGCGGGTGGAAAACTCATTTTTATATATTTTGACATGACTTTTATATGACATTTGATTCACTGTTGTTTTCTGGTTATTTTTTCGAAAACAAAATGTGTTTCTTGTTTTGATTTAACCAAAACTGGACCAAATATTAAGTTTAACATATTGTTTCATGTTTAACTATTTATAATGATGTGTTGGGTTAGAATTTTAGAGTAAATTAAACTGTTTTCCTGAGACAATAATGATGTATAACATGCCATGGTCGCTTATCTCCATAAATGCGGCATGTGAATAATAATAATAATAATAATAATAATTGAAAATCATTTTAGGGGCCTCTAAAAACTGTCTTGTGGGCCGCATTTGGCCCTCGAGCCTGAGTTTGACCTGCCTGCTCAAATAGATTCAATTGTGTTTTTGTATAGCCCTAAATCACAAGAGCGGTCGTCTCAGTGGACTTTACAAAGTTGTCGATTCACCAACAACAAATCAGAGAATCAAAACACAAGAAATACAGTGATAGCGAACACAAAGGAGCCATTGGTCCATATCGACCCCTGTCTATGTCCATAAATGTCCATAAATGTCCTTAAATGTCCTTAAATGTCCATAAATGTCCATAATGTCCTTAAATGTCCTTAAATGTCCATAAATGTCCATAATGTCCTTAAATGTCCATAAATGTCCATAAATGTCCTTAAATGTCCTTAAATGTCCTTAAATACCCTGGATCATCACTGTTATTAAAGACTCCTGCATCGGTAAGAAACAACTGAGAAAAAACAATGGGAAAAAAGTGAGAAATTATCCGTTTCGAGCCAAAGACAAAATGTGTTGTTCTTTTGAAGCTGCTTTTCCTCAGTCCATTCCTGAAAACATACACTGCAAACTTAGCCTGTCTCAAAACTAGAAAAAGACACTTATTGTGGTTGGAAAAGCACAAGAAATAAGTTAAATTATAAGTGATTTTTACTCAAGAAATCTTAAAATAATTACCAATATCTACGCCTTTAAAATCCTTAAAACAAGACAAAATATCTTCTTCCAAGCTCAAAAATAAGATCGAAGTTATTTTAAAACACTTATTTTAAACAGTAAATTATGACAAAACCGTAGACTTTTTGCTTGTTTTTAGTTTCTTGATAAAAGCAAACGAAAATCTGACTTTCCTAGTAAAAAGAAAAAGGGACATGACACAAAAAAGAGTTATGTTTATTGTAGCACAGTTGGATTTCAGATGAAGACCTTTTCCTTCAATAAAAATAATGTCATAAAAAGTTCAAGATTTATTAAGAATTGTCCAAAAAAAATAGATTTAATCAATACAAGATAAAAATGAAATATTTAGTGAATAATCATTTGTCTGATTCTAAGTTATTCAGTCTGGGTTAGTTTGGTTAAATTTCCCATGTATTTGTTTTTATAGTGGCTAATCCAATCCTCAGAGTGTCCAAAGTGCTGCACAATAAAATACTAATTAAAACAAATCCATAGAAAAACAGTAAAATCATAAAAAAATCAAAAAGGAAAAACTGTGTGTTGTATGTATGTATGTACTGTATACATACAAAAATAACAATAAAATAAAATGAAATTAAACTAAATAAATGGCTAAAACTGGGATATTTATAGATATTTATTTACATTTAAAAACATTGATCGAGGCTCCTGTGCGTTTGTGATCGCTGCAAGTCCTGTGTTTCCAATGCTGTTTGGATTTAGGGTAAAAACAAATACATTGAATTGAAATTGAATTGTTTGTCATGATTTTAAAACTGAGATGAAACCGGTGACGAGACTCATTCCTTCGGTCTTTTATCTGCTCTGATGGAAATGTGCAATACTTGGACTGTTGGGTGCACCTGTGTATAAGGCGTTTGTCCATATATAGTTTTATTTCTCATATTCTTGGGTTTCATATGACGTCAGGGCATGGGTGGTGAATAACAAACGTGGGACAGGACGTGACGTATCCTGGCGGTGCAGTCTGCCGGGTTTATACACGGAGATATAGTAGAAGAAGAAGCGCTGTCAAAACACCATCTTTTTGTGCGGTGTACGCTTGTAGCAACCGCACAAATACAGAGAAAGACAAGAGTTTGTTCATGTTCCAACTGTGGTCTCATATAAAGGAGAACACTTTGAAAAAATCACTGGAATGAGGCGGGCGAGGTGGATCAAGGCTTTCCCAGATAAGCGCCCCCTGCAGGCCACCCCAATGAAACGCAGCAATTTATTCTGTTTTTCTTTCCAAAAATTCCCGAAATCAAGACTCTTTTGAGAAATATTTGTTTGTCCTCGCTTAGAATTGAGTCTCCGCGATAAAGACTGTTCCAACAACCGTACACCGCACAGGAGGAGAGCCTTTGACTCCAAAACACACTTTACATGGTTTTCAATGGGAGCAACACTGTCCCATCTCTGCTCATGCGCCCCCTACAGGCCAGGTTCATGAAACACAAGAATTGTTTTGGTCCAAGTATAGTTTTTATACACATATAGGCCACACCTGAATATAAGCCTCAGGGCATAACAATAGAGAAAAACAAAACTGACAGACGACTGTAACTGGTCACACAAAGACACATGTTTTAATGTTGATTTGTGATGGATAAAGCTAGATTAAATAAACCAATCAAGACACTTGCGTTAGCATGGTTAACTTACATGTTAGCTTCCATGACAGATGTACCTGTGTCTATCTCGACAATACACATGTGTCCTAAAGATACTAAAACCTGGAGGCAATATAATGAGTCTATAAACTCTGACCATGTTCAACTCTAGGCAAGAGTTGAACATGGTCAGAGAAGAATCCGGTCTCACATTTTCAAGAAGACTGTTCCAGATTATAGCTGCGTAAATCTGAAATGCAGCCTCTCCATGTTTAGTCCTGACTCTGGGACCAGCACGAGGCCCGTCCCTGTGCTCCTCAGAGTCCCAGCAGGAGGCCAGTCCCTGTGCTCCTCAGAGTCCCAGCACGAGGCCAGACCCTGTGCTCCTCAGAGTCCCAGCACGAGGCCAGACCCTGTGCTCCTCTGAGTTGGTTCATATGGCACTAGCACATCTACCACAATAATAATGTATAGATTAGCCGTATCGCTACAGACCACAGGGTTCAAAGAATTGGAAAGCGTCTTATAAATCGGCAATTTCAGTGTTTGTGGAGAGAGGAGCAGCACAGGTTACATTATGACTCTGAGCTCAGGGCTCAGGGCTGTGAGCACGGGGCTCAGGGCGGTGAGCACAGGGCTCAGGGCGGTGTGCACAGGGCTCAGGGCTCAGGGCGGTGAGAACAGGGCTCAGGGCTGTGAGCACAGGGCTCAGGGCGGTGAGCACAGGGCTCAGGGCGGTGAGCACAGGGCTCAGGGCGGTGAGAACAGGGCTCAGGGCGGTGAGCACAGGGCTCAGGGCGGTGAGCACAGGGCTCAGGGCGGTGAGCACAGGGCTCAGGGCTCAGGGCGGTGAGAACAGGGCTCAGGGCTGTGAGCACAGGGCTCAGGGCGGTGAGAACAGGGCTCAGGGCTGTGAGCACAGGGCTCAGGGCTCAGGGCTGTGAGCACAGGGCTCAGGGCTCAGGGCGGTGAGAACAGGGCTCAGGGCTGTGAGCACAGGGCTCAGGGCTCAGGGCGGTGAGAACAGGGCTCAGGGCTGTGTGCACAGGGCTCAGGGCGGTGAGAACAGGGCTCAGGGCTGTGAGCACAGGGCTCAGGGCTGTGAGCACAGAGCTCGGAGCTCAGGGCTCAGGGCTGTGAGCACAGGGCTCAGGGCTGTGAGCACAGAGCTCGGAGCTCAGGGCTCAGGGCTGTGAGCACAGGGCTCAGGGCTGTGAGCACAGGGCTCAGGGCTGTGAGCACAGGGCTCAGGGCTCAGGGCTGTGAGCACAGGGCTCAGGGCTGGGGCACTTTCTCCAGTTGGATAATTCCCAGAGTGGGAGCTCCCTTTCAGCGTCTGAATAATTGATGAATCAAACTTAGGACTTACAAAGGGAGCAATTTAATCTGATGACTTTTTCATGAGACAGAGGTCAGACTGAGGCCGACTCCCAGAGCAGTCAATTTGACGGCTCTTTAGTTTTGGAATGACTCAGCACATGTACATTTGTTGTCATAATAAAGTTTTTGACTTTTACTGTTTATATGTGTAGTTCATTTGTTTGTCACTCTCTTTTTTTGTGTGAAATTATCTTATTTTTACAACCAACATTCAAATGCAGTCATTTTTGGTCACCTAGCAACCTTTCAACAAATATATTTACCAGTTTTAGCAGTTATTTCAAAACTGCCGAAACTTACCTGTTTATTCTTTAGCTTTTCTCAACACTCAAAGACGCTTCTGTAAAGCCTCTTTGAGTGTTTTTATTATTATTAAAAGTATACAAGAAGATTTGCCCAAATTTTAGGAAAGAACCGCCTTCTCCACTTTTTGAAAAAAAATTCTCTGCTCTGATTGGACGAGCACGTATCACAGAACGATTGACAATTGGGAGGACCAATAGTCTTGATGATCCACCCGGCGGCAGACAATCCTCCTTTGTGCCTTTTTAAACTGGTGAAAAACTGTTTTTGGTGGGAATTTTTTTGTTCCATTAATTTTCCGAATTTACAAATAACAACTAAAGCCTTCCCAGAATGTTCCGGAAAGAACAAGATCACTCTGACATTTCTGAGTGAAGAAATCATTTTAAAAGTATATATTTTTGTTGTACTAAAGTAATTAGGGGTTATTTATCTACTGACCTTGATTCAACCGGGACAATCCTGCAATGGGTGGTGCAGTGGTTAGCGCTTGTTAGCAAGAAGGTCCTGGGTTCTACCTCCATAGGCTTTTCAGTGGGGAGTTTGCATGTTCTCCCATTGTCTGTGTAGGTTTCCTGCAGTTGCTCCGGTTTCCCCTACCACTAAAAACCTGTACCATAGGTCTGAATATAACGAGAGTCTGTGAAATGCGCTATATATAAAAATGACTTACCTACTTAATCTCATTGGGTGTGTATTGTCTGTAGAGCGGTTACAAACACATACCAACAGGTTATACTATACAATACAATTTATTCTTGTATCGCCCTAAATCACAACATCATCATCTCAGAGACTTAACCAAACCTTAATAAAACTTAACAGAAACTTAATAAAACACATAAAGAATATAGAACACATGTTGATAAATGTCATACATGTTGTAGAATGTGAAAGTGTCCTGGATCATCACAGTCCTTCTAGTTGGACACTAACTGCCCAACAGACCCTCCTGCATCGGCAAGGAAAAACTCAGTGGGAAAAAAGTGAGAAACCTCGGGGAGACCCATGGTTTGAGAGAGGGATCCGCTCCCACGGACGGACAGGCTATAGATCCAGGACCTAAGCTACAGAACGTGGACAGGTCCGGTGCAGGACTGAAGAACTCCCTGGCGGGTCGGGCGGGGCAGTCCGCAGGTGTAGATGGAGGAGACCAGGTTCAGTGGTCCCGTTGTTGCACCATGAAACAGACAATGGGACAACGGGTGAGTAGCAATGAACCAACTACAGTCAAAATCCTAAAAATGCAAAACAGATAAATCAGGTCTCTTCACTGGCTTTCTGTGTCTCAGAAAATAAGTTTTAAAACAGCTCTCCTTGTATAAGTCTCTCCATGGTTTCGCACCATATGCAACATGCTGGTGCCATATGAGCCGACTGCAACTCTGAGGAGCACAGGGACTGGCCTCCTGCTGGTGCCCAGAGGTGGGACTAGACCTGGGGAGGCAGTGTCCAGACCTATGCACCTAGAATCTGGAACAGTCTTCCCGAAGGTGTAAGACAGGCTGCTACTCTAGCTATGTTCAAATCCAGGCTGAAAACGGTTCTTTTCAGCCGTGCCTACGACTGATCCTCAGGAAACTGAGCATCATTTTATTATTGATGATCACGTGTTGTATTGTATTCAGCATTCCGTGGTTTAAATGCTTTTCTAAGTCTTCTGCCAACACTGATCATAAGTGAATCCTTACATCTGTGTCTTCAGCCGGTTGGTTTCAGTTTGAACATCTGCAGTCGTGCTCGTGTGGACTGGTGTCATGGAGCCAAAACAGTTCCAATCCTTTCCATATTTCCCATAAAGTTTATATTACCCTCAATCTTTCCTGAATCTGGATCAAATTAGGCTCTGACTGTCTCTTGTTGTTCCTGCTGTTACTTTCTATTTTGATTCAATTCTGTTATTTTTTTGTATAGCCTTAAATCACAACAGCAGTCGTCTCGGAGGACTTGGACTTGGACAAGGTTTTTGATTCATCAACAACAGATTAGAGAACACAGGAAATGCACAACTCATAACAAACACAAAAGAGCCATGGGTCATTTAAGGAGCGGGACGACCACAGTAAAAACGCTGTCATAAATGTCCTTAAAAGTCCTTAAATGTCCCAGATTTTAAAAAAACTCTCTGGGAGGCCCACGTTGAGAGAGGAATCCACTCCCACACTGTAAAAAATGATAAAATATGAGGTAATAACTGCTTGAATTGAGTAGTCATTATCTTTATCCGACAGATTCTGACTGTGTTACAACCAGATAATTTTGCTTTGTCCATCCATCTTCTCCCCCTTTATCCATTTCTGGGGTGGGGGGGGTGTCAGTCAGAGCTGCACCCAGTACACTCAGCACCAGCCCCTCACTGATCCTCCTGCAGGTGTCCACAGGAGCCTTGATCTTTCAGTGGGGGCTTTAGGCAAAGTGAGGTTAAGTGTCTTGCTCAAGGACACAACTACAGCAGCCATCAGTGGGAGTTGTGAAGTAGGTCTCAGTCAAAATGTGCTTAAATTTGAGCAATTTTTGACTTATTTTTGATCACTTTTTCCATTGCCCAAACGTTTCCTTTGTTTGGATCAAATAGGCCCTGACTGTCTTCTTTTGGTTTCTTCTAATACTTTCTATTTTAAGAGTATTTGTGGCAGTGTCTCTTAATTTCTCTCTTAAAGGTATAGGAGCATTTTCTACTTCTGGGTGGATCATCAAGACTGTTATTATTATCAATCATTCTGGTGATACGTGTCACATTGTGGAAAGGACCCAAAATTCCAAAATTAAAAATTTAATTCATAAAAACATAAAAAATAATAACATAAAAAAACTAAATGTATTCACGCCATTAAAATATGCTTGATAAAAAAGACCGAAGGGTTTTATTCATAAAGTGAAAGTGGAGAGGCCGTTTTGGGAATTTGGGAAAATCCTTGTATATACTTTTATCTCATTGACTTCCAGCCGTTTTGAATGATCTCACTGATTTCCAAGACCCACAGAGCATTGTGTGCTATTACCAGGAGAAATATGAAACCAGATTCTGAAAGACTGGATTGTCTACTTTCATTAGCAATATTAAGTTTGTTTCTAGCTAGCTTTGTTCTCCTGTAATCTCCAGTCAAATAGAGGGAAGTTTGACAGAAATCACCGGTCTCAGACAAATACGCCAATGGCAGACAATTGCTTAAAGGCGCTATACCCGTTTCTGCAATGTTTGAATGTTTAGCCCCGCCCCCAACTCGCTCACAGGCTTCTCATTTCCTCTACGCTCTCATAACATGGAGCCATCTAGTTTTTTTGCGATCTGATACGTATGCTAACATTAGCATGAGCGCAACTACTTGTAAGCTGTACAACAATCACTGATGAAATGGTACAAAAGCAACGCACTGCTAACACAATAGTAGATAGTCCGAGCGTAGATAGTCCGAGCGAAGATAGTCAGAGCGTAGATAGTCCGAGCGTAGATAGTCCGAGCGTAGATAGTCAGAGCGTAGATAGTCCGAGCGTAGATAGTCCGAGCGTAGATAGTCCGAGCGTAGATAGTCAGAGCGTAGATAGTCCGAGCGTAGATAATCCGAGCGTAGATAGTCCGAGCGTATATAGTCCGAGCGTAGATAGTCCGAGCGTAGATAGCCCGAGCGTAGATAGTCCGAGCGTAGATAGTCCGAGCGTAGATAGTCCGAGCGTAGATAGTCCGAGCGTAGATATTCCGAGCGTAGATAGTCCGAGCGTAGATAGTCAGAGCGTAGATAGTCCGAGCGTAGATAGTCCGAGCGTAGATAGTCCGAGCGTATATAGTCCGAGCGTAGATAGTCCGAGCGTAGATAGTCCGAGCGTAGATAGTCCGAGCGTATATAGTCCGAGCGTATATAGTCCGAGCGTAGATAGTCCGAGCGTAGATAGTCCGAGCGTAGATAGTCTGAGCGTAGATAGTATGAGCGTAGATAGTCCGAGCGTAGATAGTCCGAGCGTAGATAGTCCGAGTGTTGATAGTCTGAGCGTAGATAGTATGAGCGTAGATAGTCCGAGCGTAGATAGTCCGAGCGTAGATAGTCCGAGCGTAGATAGTCCGAGGCGGTCCCGCAGGTCTCTCCCTCAGACCAGTCTCTCCAGAGGATACGATGTAAGCTAGCTCTGTTCAGGGCTTGGTTTCTTCTTTGATCATGTTCTGTCTTTAGTTCCCTCTTCTCTTCCTCACTGTTGTGTGGTTTGGGCTGTTTTGCTGTGTCTGCAGTTACAGCCAGAGGAGTTATAGCCACTTATGCTAACATGCTACTGTGTTTAGCAGCGCTGTAGAGGCTAGAGGACGCAGCCTCGTTCTGTGATTGGAGGAGAGCGGGCGTCATGCTAAGTCTCTACTCAGCCCTTTTTACGGCCTGAATTCATAAACAGCTGAATCAATGAGCTCAAGTTTTACATTAAATTACGGATTATAATACAACTTGTATGTATAGCTTCTTTAAATAGACTCCTGTACTATAATAGCAAAACCTTCCAAAACGTACTCCCTTCTCACCTTTATCTA